GCAGCAGCAGCAAAAGCAACCCAGAAACAAAATGGCCACCAGAACTCAGAGACCCTCTCCAAAGCCTACGCAGAAGCACTCGAAGAAAACTAATAAAGTATGTAAAAGTTACTTCTTTTTGCCTTGAATAAATAAGAGAAATAAAATGGCATCGTATTCCTACTCCAAGAAAGAGGAGGAATTTATTCTTGTGTCAAGCTCTAGGATCTCAGATTGTCTAAGAAAAGTTTCTTCCTACCACAGGGCAGTCAGATAAAGTGGGAAGGCCAGCTGTTGGAACTACCCTGTGGACTGGGTCCTGAGGGATGAGCAGGAATCCGTGGGCAGAGGGAGGAATAGCATCCAGGCAGAAAGAGTGGCAATTAGAAGCACAGAAGCTTAGAGGTGCAGATTTAGGGAGCAGCAAGACACAGCTGGGCTTCACAGACTTTTGTGCCCTAAGTAGTAGAGAAACCATTCTAAATCCAAAGGAGTAATGCTAATGGCAAGGCCATGTTTTAAGCAATTGGGCTGCAGCTGTGTGGGAGTAAATGAGGAGAGACCAGAGCAGTTTATTATTTGGGGACAGGGTTATTGATGTTTAAATGGTAAGTCTGTCCTCAGGAACCACAGGCTCAGTAATGAGGTGGTTGCCATTATTACTAGTAAACATTATGAACAGAGTGGTCCCATCTGGGTGGGTACAGTGCTAGTTGAGCATATTCCCTGGAGATCAGTAGTGAAGGACAGTCACTTTAGCATTTCAGTGACTCTCCTAGGCCTAGCTTATCAGTTCTAGGTAGGAGCAGTACACATAACTCCTCAGATCCCACCCATCCACACCAAGTAAAGTGCCGAGGCATCAAAGCCTTTGTGTGTTTGTCTCAGGAAAACAGTGTGTCAACAGCTGAGTGAACAAAGAATCAGGAAGAAATAGACATCAGATGTAGAGCTTTCTGGACATGATGATCTACTAAGGCTGCCATAATAAAGTGCCATAGATTTGGTACACTAAACAAGGAAACTTGTTTACTCAAAGTTCTGGAGGTTTTGAAGTCCATGGTCAATGTGCTGATGGATTCCATTGCTGGTGAGAGCTCTTCTAGCTGGCAGGGGCCTTTTCATGTGTCTTCACATGGCCCTACCTTGGTGTGTGCACTGGGAGGGCAAGAAAGAGATCTGTATGTGCCTGTACCCTTAAGGCTACTAGTCCTATCAAGAAGGTCCCAGTGCTGAGCATGGTGACACGGACCTATAATCCCAGCACTCTGAAGACTGAGATAGGATTGCCACAAGTTCAAGGCCAACCTAGATAATATAGTGAGACCTCATCTCACAAGAAAAAGGCCCACATTCAAGACCTAATGCAACCTTACTTCCCAATACCCAACCACTGAAGGGCTTCAAACTGTGAAGAAAAGAAGGGTTGGACACATTTAGTCCATAAATGAAGAAAAATTTTAACTTCTTTCTGTGAAGCCAGCAAAGAAAGCCATAAAGAAAGACAGATATGTGCAAGTGCTATCCAGAAAGCAGTTGGAAATGTACATTCCAGTTTCAGTAGGGAGGTCTGGACCACAGCAGTTTTGGAAGTTGTTAAGGTGATTAAAGCCCAGTACATGAGTAAAAGAAAAGCCATGTAGGGATGGGAAGGATCCCTGAGGGCATGGCCTCATTCAGGAGCAGCAGCTGAGTGTGAGGGGAGACTAGAGAACCTGGTGAACTGTTTAGGTACCACCTCCAGGAATCATAGGGACAGCCTTTATAAGGACTTCTAAGTGGACATAGCAACTTCAAGGTCCAGTGCTAGAGGGCCAGGTGCCAATATTCTAGGGGACTGGCCAAGGGAAGGGGTAAAAACCACAGTCAGGACTTAAAGGAATGGCGTTGTTTGAAGTGCTGCCTGAGGCACATTATCTTACCTGAAGCCACCTTTACTCCTCCCTGATTGTCTTCTTTTTACTATAGGAACTAAGGCTTAAGCTCTGTAACTCTAAATTGACACAGCTGGTTAGAAACAGGCCTAGAATTCATACTCCCCTCCTGACTACAAAGCATGAATTCTGTCCACTATACCACACTGCCTAGGGACCTAAAAAAGGTATAAGAAGCAAAGGAAAAAGTCTACACCATAGCAAACTTAAACCCCTTTAGGAGCCAGGCAGGTAACAAATACATGAAGGCCCAGCATAAGGTAGTGATCCTATTTATTACATTCCTATCTTAGTTATATTCCCTAAAAAGACAGTGCATAGACAAGGCAAAATAACCAAATCAAAGATTGCACTGGCAGCTTTCAACAAATGTAGAGTCCCCATACTGAGATGAGATGTCAGTTAAGGGAAGAACCACCACAAAGTATTCAGAGTGAAATGTTTGGGGGTAGAGATTCAAGTGCAGTGAGGTATGGAATTAGGATACTGCGGAAGCTCAGATTGTGAGTTCAGACTATTTCAAGAAGTATGGCTACTAGGAGAAAACAGGAAAACAAATGAAGTGTGGGATGGAGGGTAGACGTTAACACAGGAAGGACCCGACCTCGGCTCATGTTAAGACTTCCAGGTGTGTTAATGAGGAAAAGAAGCTGGGCACGTTGCCCACAGAAAGGACAACTTGAGTTCATCTGGACCGGAAGTCTGCGAAAGTTTGGTGCAAAAGCAGCAAGCTCTGGAAAGGTGGAGCCAGAGTAGAGAAAGCCTGGAAAGCCATGCCAAGTCCTCCAAACAGCAAGAAGCCACTGAAGAAGTGGGCAGATTAAAAGTAGTGTTTTCTAAAATTTAACCTAATATGGTTAGTCTTTTCAAATAAGAGTTGCTTTCTTAAGGAAAAAAAAAAAAAAAAAAAGGCTGGGCATGGTGGTGCAGGCCTGTAATCCCAGCGCCGAAGAGGCTGAGACACGAGGATCACTACGAGTCGGAGCTGCATAGCGAGACCCTGAACCAAATACATAAATATTAAAAAATAAATAAATAAATAAGAAGAAAGAAAATAAGGTTAAAAAAAAAATGCAGGCGAAAAAGGGGCACTGCCTTCAAAGCAGGCCTGGTTAACACCGGTTAACAACAGCGAGGCCACTTCGGAGTTCAGATGTCAGAATCAGGCCCTGCTGGCCTCACTGAGCTGCAAAGGGTGGGAGAATCCCAAGCATACTTTAGGGAAGAAATTCATATGAGTTAAGGACAGGTTCCCTCCCTCACGTGAAAGAAACGTCCGCTGCCGTTTTTGTGAATGTTTTCCCGGCGTTTCCTACGGTCCTACAGATTCCCCTCAGCAGCCCCGTAATGCGGACGCAACCTCCATTTTACCAACGAGGAAACCGAGTTTCAAAATCCAAAAACCCAAAGTCATACAACAGAAGAGAAGCCGCGATTGCAACCCAGGGGCCTCTGACCGGGTCTGCTGCCGGGGCGTTTCGCTGGGGCTCTGTTCCTCGCGGGTGGACCCTCCAGGTCCTCGGCCTAAGGCGGAGAGCCGGCAAATTCAAACCGGAGCCGGGCAACTGACGCCCAGTCCTTCCCGCCTACATCCCAGCTCGGGCCAATCCCCTGGGGCGGTCCCTGCCTCCTGGCCCAATGAGTGTCCGCTCTTAGGGCACCTCCCACCAAACCGCCTTCTGATTGGCTCACTTGCTCCGTCTTCGGCGTTGCCCTAGCAACCAGGCTCTGGCTGCAAGGCGGCCTCCTGTCTAGTAGCTTCTGAGTCCTGCATCCACTTACCTGCCCTGCGAGTTTCCAGCACCATGTCCCTACGGACACTACCGCTGCTCTTCTTGAACTTGGGTGGGGAGATGCTTTACATCCTTGACCAGCGGCTGCGGGCCCAGAACATCCCAGGAGACAAGGCCCGCAAAGGTAAGAGGGGTTCGGCCCGCACAGCCAGACCCGCACCCTCCAGCCCCAGCACCCACAGCCAAACGAACATCCCTACACAAACCACTCTCGTAGCTAGGTACCTTTCTTACAAACTGCAGCTCTCATCCAGTTGAAACCCCTCAGGAGTCAAATTCTCCAAAAGATCTTTTCCCAGCAGAGAAAATTAACACCCCATTGGATATAATTAGGGTGCTTGATCTTGATTAATCTCCCCATCTCTTCAAACAGGACAGATAATTTCTTAAAATTTCTTGAAACCAGCCCCTTACAAAAGCCCAGTCTCACCCAGCCGCTCACTACCTGGCAACATGCTTTTAGTTCAAGCTTGTCTTTATCCACAAGGAACGGGTTCTGATTCTCTGTTCCTCTATGCAGCACCCACCTCCACCTACGCTGGAAATTAGGCCTGATCCTTTCAGAAACCATTTCTAGAAATGTAAGGTTCTTAAATAATACAGAGAAGTGGGGAAATACAGAGAACTCTTAAATCTTCTTCATGGGGACCTGCCCAGTAGCTCAGTTCTTTAAATCTTTTCTTCACAACTGCTGAAGGAAACAACATGAGAACATGTTGGTGAGCAGGGGCATGGTGAGCTTGAAGCCACCCCGGGCAAGTTGGCCAGACCCCAATTCAAAATAAAATTTTAAAAGGCTTTGGAGATGTAGTTCAGTAGTAAGAGTGCTCCTGGGTTCAATTCCCAGTACGGGGGTTGGGGGGTGGGGGAGTTACTCTCTGTAGCAGTGTCTGTATGCTCTCTTAATGTTACTTATTTATACATACATATAATACGTGTTCACTTATTAACTATGGTGTTTTATGATTGTGTTCAAGTTCACGCATACCACTCCATTCATTTTTTTTTCCCCCTTGAGAAGGGTTTCCCTATGCAGTTCAAGCTAGCCTTGAACTTGCTTTGTAGCCCAGGCTGGCCTCAATCTCTCAGCAGTCCTCATGTTTCAGCCTCCTAAGTGCTGGGATTACAGGCAGGCACCACCATGCTCAGCCCACTCCCTTTACTCTTCACACCACTAACAGTGAGGCTTTCTAAAATCCAGATCTGTCCATATTTACCCTGCTTAAAGCCATGTGCCAGCTTTCCAGTCCTGTCTGCATGGAGGCCAAGTTCTTGTGTGGGACATTCTGGGGCCTTCCACATCTGATCTCCCTCCGCTACCTACCTGCCTTCTACACTCAACTGCTTATAGATCTCCACTTAAACGTTGTCCCCCTGGGAATAATCCCCTCCCTCCACTCCTCCACTTCCATTCTGGAACACTCAGCTGAAGAATCACCCCTCTTCAGGAAGCATCCTCACAGGAGAAAGGGCCTGCTGTGCTCCCATAGCACTCTGTGCACATTTCTCTCTACCTTGCGACTTGGTCGTGTTCTACTGAAATGATCTGTGTGTGTATTTCCCTCCGTTTTATTATTTCATTCCTCTTTGCACTCCGGCACACAATCTAATGCCTAGACTAGAATAAATCAGTGCTCAGTAAATGTTTGGTGAACTGATAATCTAACTTGGCAGTTTTATATAATGTTGTCATTTCTTCCTCCAGAGGGCTGTTTTCCTGGTTGCCTATGTGATCTGATTTCATTCAGGCTAATGGCATCAACGGGGTAGCAAGCCAGGGTTCTTGGTTCTCATTGCATCTTGGACGACAATGTAAACTAGCAATTAGCAGTCCACTTGCTGGAGTTACAGGTGTAGTTCTCCACTCCAGTTTTGCCATAGAGCTCGTTGTATCAACTTAGCACATAACCTCTATAAGCCTGTTTGTCAAAAAAAGAAAGAGACAGAAAGATAATAATAATATATAATGAAAACAAAGTTGTAAGTATTAAATGAAGCAGTGTATTTAGCATGATTGGTACAATGAGTAATAGGTCTTCTCTTTCAGGAGGAGGTCTGGGAGGACCCCTGTGAATAGTAAGGGATGGGCTTGTCTTTCAGAGCCGTGTTCCTTCTGGTTTTGCTAGATTCAACCTTAAAGAGCCTCATCCATCTTTAGTAATTCTTTGTCACACACTTGTTCATTCCACATACTTGGGCTGAATGTCATGCCATGCTGGGTGGAACCTGATCCAACCCTTCTTGCATCCCTAGAGGTAGGGCTATGATTAGCCCAGCCTAGTAAATAACTCTAAAACTGAGGTTGGAGCTTCCAAATGACAAAACTACAACAGGTTTTTTGTTTTGTTGTTGTTGTTTTTTGCGGGGGAGGGGGCTTTTTTGAAACAAGATCTCACTATGTTGTTTATGCTGGCCTTATAGTCACTATGTAGTTTAGGCTGGCCTTGAACTTGTGGTAATCCTCCTGCTTCAGCCTGCCAAGTGTTGGGATTAAGGTATGCACCACTACACCTAGCATTCAACTTTTTTTTTGCAACTATTTCATCACATAAGTAATGTTGCTATTCTAATTTTATAGATAAGAAAATAAAGCTGTTTTGCACAGGTTTACATAGCTGGTAAGAAGAAGAATAAAGGATTTGAAAAGTCCAGATTCCCAGACTCTGGAGATAATACCCTTAAACATTAGGCCTTTATTGCTGCTGTGTGCTGTCATAACTGGAGTGCTGCATAAGAATCTTTGCTGGGCTTGGTAGGTCTGGAGGAGAGGGATCCCTTTGGGAAAAAAATGTATCCCCACATTTTTTAATGACAGAGTAGTTATCTGATAGTGATTTGTAACTGCAAGAATACACTGTGGAGAGCATGAGATTCAAAAAGGTGAGACATGAGATTCAAAAAGACTTCTCTCTTCGCTGTGTAGAGCTGGTTTGGCTGCAGGAGCAGGGGCCAGAGCCCTGTGACAGCTGCCTGGACCCAGGAATATAAAACTCCAGGCGTGGTAAGCTGGTCCTCATGGAAGCCCTGAGTGGAAATCATATTTCTTCTAGATGTTTTCATCATCTTACTCAACTAATTGCTCTCCTGGAGGCCATCCCTGATCCCACAGGGCCAGTGCAGCGTTACAGTCTCCTCCACACTGCAGTTCTGCTTAGCGTTTATCGGCAGTACCTATTGATTGTGGCCCGACATTTTAAGCAATAGCGAGAACAGCTACCTTTGCCTCACTCTTGACCTTTTAAATCATAAATAAGACCCTAGTGCACCTTGTTTGCATTCCCAATTTGAAAAAGGAAACTGAGGCACAGAGCCACAAGTGATTCTTTTCCCCAATGTGTTCTTACTGAGCAACCAAATGGCAGCAAGGTTGTTTTCATTTTTTAATTGCAATTTAACAGAGAACTCTGGGTAGCTTTGGATCAGCCCTCCACTCAAAATATAACTAAAATGAAATTGTCAGAAACGAGTCATCTAGAGAAATAGAAAAACTGAGCTTGGGCGCCTTGCCGGGACCCTGGGGAGGGAAACGGTGGGCACTCGCATCACTCCGGCGCCCCCTGGCGGCCCTGAGCCTCGCTGCGGGCTGAAGCGCGTCTTCCAGGGCCCTTTTATCCGTGTACTCCCTGTCCCCAAGAGATGGGGCACCTGCAGCCCCACTAGGGGATCAGAGCTCATGTCTCCTGAGGTATCCCACGCCTGCCGTGCTAGACCCCCGGTGGAATAAATGCCGCAGAACGATGGAAGGTGTGGGCAGCCGGCCTAAGAATCCACTACTACGACCTAGGTGACTCTTGAGGGGGAAGACTTTTCTCAAGGAATCTGGCCTTGCAGTGGGAATCCTTCGCAGCCAGCAAGGGTGTGCCCCCCTTTTCTCCTAGACTGGTTTCCTAGGAGCTCTTGGCATCTTGTTGAAGCCGTGCCAGTGTGCACTGAAGCCATATGTATGCTTTAAGCATAATTTCAAAATCACCCCCAAAAGAATATATTGGCAGATGTTTCCAAAAGAAACTGTGACTTACAACTTTATTTATTTTTTAAATTTGACTGTGTGTAGAATTCTGTCACCTGGGTGTGGTTTCTCTAGGTTGAAATCTTACCCCAAAACTGAGTTCACCTTTTTTATGCATTTATGCCCACAGAACCCTGTGAGGCAGGTGCTATTCTGATCTCCCTTTTAACCGATGAGAAAACATGTTAAACAGTTTGCTTGGATTTTTTTTTTCTTTTATGTATTTGCTACAGAGTCTCACTATGCAGCTCCGACACATAGTGATCTTGTTTTCAGCCTCCCCAGCGCTGGGATTACAGGCGGGCGCCACCACGCCCAGACTTGGTCTCTGGCTCAGTGCATCCTGGAGACTGGGGATCCAACCCTGGTCCCTGCACTTACCAGAGAGGCACTTAGTCTGCTGAGCTATCTCACGGGTCCAAATTCATTTGGATTTTATAGAGCTGGTAAGTGGTAGAGCCAGCTCTCAATCTGTATAGGTTCTTTATTGCACCAATCTTTCCAGACCAAGTGTATGTTTTCCTAATTTGGTCTTCCATGGCATTTCCCAGACTGCTTCACTTCTTTACTCATGTGATTCACATTTCAAGTTTTCTGATTTGAACAGTTCCAAAAGTACTCTAGAAGGGGAAAATCTTGTATTAACAAAAGATCAGGTTATATACAAAAATAACTTCTTTTTCTGCCTTTGGTTGGGATTACTCTTCTTGGAAGGAGTAGTGTTGTTAAAAGCCTGCTTAGAATGACATGTGTTGTTGTGGCATTGGGAAGGAGAACTTCTAGAACCTTCTAAGATGAGCCCTAGAGTGGCTAGTCCTACTGAGCTTCCTGTTGCCCTAGACTACTCACTGTAAGACCTCGCCTTTCTTGGGCTGTTTTGGAACTTATTTACTCAGTTCTTAAACTTTTAAAAACCTTAATGTTTTAAATAAGAGAGTATTCACACTAGACATTAAATGCAAACATGAAAAATAAAATTTTATAGACCAGATAATTGGAATTGGTGTTTGTAAAGCCTCCATGAAAATAATGTTCTTGCTTTATGAACTGGTGTTTTCTTTTTATATGCTTCGTGTAGATGAATGGACAGAGGTGGACAGGAAACGAGGTATGCT